CGATATATATAACAAGCACCTTATATATGTATATATCGTCAAATAGAACTGCCCGGTAAACCGTAGGCAGAGAGGGAGAAGAGGACAACAAACGAGGGGCTGTGACAAACTGTTTCGTCGGAGTTTCACCGACTCATATATTATATATAATTACATCAATTGACATGAATATATATAATATATAACAGGCACCTCTCCCTTCTCACGCCGCAATACATATATATATGACATATGTCTATACATATATTACTTAATATTACTTATAATATATTATAGATATATTGTCACATGAATATCAGAGCGCAAATGCGGAAAAAAGAGAAACAGGAAAAAATGAATTCAGGTTTTTCTCTTCTTCCTTACAAGACTCCCCCTGTTCAGAACCTCTTGAGTACAAGGCCGCACACGTGGATGTAGGTTGAGCGGCGGCTGCCCCCTCCCCCGTGTGGCATATCGACCCACTTGCACACAGCCAAAAGGCAAAGAGGCAAAGAAGAGAGGAAGGGAACAGCCAACTAAAACAGAACAGGGGGCAACAAAACAGATCCCAGATATATATTGTCACATTGGAAATCAGAGCGCAAAGGCGGAAAAAGACAACAAGAAAAAGAAAAAGCCCCACCTGTTCGTCACCTCTTACGTACAAGGCCAGCCACGTGGATGACAGGTTGGGCGCTGGCGGCCCCCATCCCCGTGTGTCACAAAGACCCACTTGCACGCAGCCAAAAGGCACAGAGGTAAAGAAAAGGCGGAGGAAACCAAACCTCACAGAAGAAGAAAGCCTATTAAACAGACGAAGCAAGTGACACATCCCACAGATAATCCAATTACCATCCCACAGAACATATTTTTCTTTCTTCTTTTTTTTTTTTCTCAGGGTTTTTTTTTTTTTTTTTTTCCTCACCACGAATTTAGTAGTGGATATGGCGGAGATGAGATGTCAATCTGAACACTGTGCTGTGGTTTCCATAATTCCTTTTTTTTTTTTTGTCCTTGGGACTAATCTGAAGTTGAAAAAAAACGGCGAGAGTTAGCATCTATCGTTACGAAAATTAACGTCCTGCCTGTACGGAATGTACTAGGATGATGATGACGTCAACAGAGACGATCGATGACGTGGCGAATACAGTGCTAAGGAACAATAAGCCATCGCCATAGCGGCAATAGCGGCCATAGCCATAGTCATCGCCATAGCTATCGCCATAGCCGCCATCGCCAATTGCCATAGCCGCCATCGCCATAGCCATCGTCGTAGCCGTCATAGTCGTTGCCATTCCTGCCATAGTCAACCCCATACCCACCTCGCTCTCCCAAACAGCTTGCTATCATCACCATTCCTCGGCATACCGGCTGCTGCTGCTGCTGTGACCGCCATAGCCGTGGCTATAGCTGGCAAAGCCAAAATAGACGGGCTTTAGCCGTCACTATAGCTGGCATAGCCAACATAAGGCTATATCTGGCATAGCTATCGTACCCCCTTCATATCCCTCACCATGGACGATATAGCACACAGCCAAAAATAGCTGCCTCCGTAGCCGCCACCATAGCCGCTATAGACAATACAGCCATAGCCTCTATATAGCCGGTATCTATGGCAGCCATAGCCGGGCCCATTGTGCGTGCGCGTGTGCATGGAGCACTACCCCTCTCCCCTCCCTCCGTCGGCATACCCTTGCTTTTCCCTCGGCCGGCGATATTCTGACACTAACGACAAAATCCTTAACTCATATCCATAGGCATAGATGACGAATTTCCGGATCAAGCCATAGGCCTCTGCCAAATCATCACAGTGCTGCCACGTCATCGCTTCCTCTCACGTCGATCGACGCCCGTGTAGCAGGGGTTTACTTGCAGTCCTTTCCGTATCAATTGCGCTCTGTCCCGACCCAATCAATCAAGCTTCTTCCTCTATTAAGCGATAATAATCATCTATGACGTCGCATTCCCAGGCGTGACATGACGCTCTTCAGAGGCGTCAAGATCCCCCACGTGGAGCTCGCGAAAGAAACGCCCACGTGGCGCTCGTGAAAGAAACGCCCACGCGGCGCTCGCGAAAGAAACGCCCACGTGGCGCTCGCGAAAGGGACGCCCACGTGGTGCTCGTGCAAGAAAACGCAACGTCGCACGCTGGCAGAGACGTGCCACGTGGCCCTCCTGACCGGAAGCGCCACGTGGCACGTGGCACGTGGCACGCTCCTGGAGAGAAAGCGCCACGTTGCACGCATTCTTTGACGTGCCGCGTGGCGCTTTCCAGAGAAGCGCAACGTTTCGCTCGTCGGGGTCGAAGCGCCGCCTGGCTCCTCTATTACCATCATGCTGCGCGCCAAATCCGCGGCAATATAATGCCCCACGTCATCATCCCACTGCGCGCCAATACCATCTTCCAACTGGCTCATCTATGACCATCATGGTGCGCGCCAAATCGGGGGCAATATAATGCCACGTCATCATCCCGCTGCGCGCCAAAATCATCCTAGCCTGCCATGTCACCATTTCGCCCCGTCATTTCTCTCTCCATACCCCCCATATGATCGTTCCTCTCGCCACGTCGCATCCCGACACCCATCATGCTGCGCGCCAAATTGGTAGCACTGTAATGCCAGGTCATCACCCCACTGCGCGCCGAAATCATTTCTAGCCTGCCACGTCATCATCTCGTCCCGTCGCTTCGTCTCTCCAGACCCCATGTGTGATCGTTCCTCTCTCCACGGCTATGGCAGAAACCGAAGAAGAAAACAAACGAGGAGAAAAAGAAGAAAAAGAAGAAGAAGACGAAGAAGAAGAGAGTTCTGTGAATGTGGTATCAAGCATTGGCCTCCTTAGCGTGCAATTCTTCCAGAAGCTTCCGCTTTAAGCGTTGGGCTGCCTTTTCAGCCTCGTAGGCCGCAGCCTTCTCTTCTCTTCTTTTGTCCATCCATATAAGGACTCGCGGCTGCTGCGACATCGCCGCCAAGGTCACGGCCACCATAGCCGCGAAGGTCGCTACGCGCACCATCCTGTTCCCTGCTCTTGTCCGGCCAACTTCGCTCGCGGTGAGCCGCTCTTTGTCCGCTCTGCACCGATGAACTCCTCTCTCACCCCTTCAGCGCTCCCTTCTCTCTCTCTCTCTCTCTCTCTCTCTCGTGTAGTCCCCCTTACTTCGCCCTCCCTGTTTGCTCTCGACTCTACGCTCCACGCTCCTCTGGTTCCTGGTTCGTAGGGTGTAGTAGCCGCACCACTCACCAAATGTGCAAAATGACAGTGAATCATCGGCAGAACCTGGTAAGATAGAGCGTCATAATTTGTGTGTTTTCTGCATTTGGTGAGTGGTGCGGCGAGGCCCGTAGGCCCTAATGTTATAATACTAACTTCTTTTGTGTAGCTAAGTTCGAGCACCTGACCTTACGTGTCGTCAGCACGTGTTATAGATCTGATACCAGTCAGTTCTTTTCTTTTTTTTTTTTTTTATTATTTCTCTCTCACCTCACATTTCTCTCCCACCAGTACCTCGCTCAGCTACCCGCGGGCCTTCCCGTATACGCGCCGCAGCCTTAAGGAGGTCGGCCAAGGGAAGGCCCGGTCGCTCCTTCTTGGCCGGAGCCCGCCAAGTACGGGGTGTGTTACTCACACAATAAAAAATTATAAACACAAGAAAAAA